TTGCTTTTATTTTATGATAATAAGGATGAGACGAAGAGGCAAGATTTATCTCCTTAATGCACAGAAAGTATAGAACCTGAGATAAATTTTGGATCTTTGATGTTGATAATGCAAGTCCTGTATATTTCAGTTGCACTAGCATTTCACGTACGAATTATGATGCAAGATATTTGCATTGTAATTCAGAGTGAAGATGGAAGAGTTGTACAAATAGCAGCAAAATGAAGGGAAAAAGGAATTCTTTTAGTTACTAAATACTAGATATTAAAGTTCTTTCTTAACTATTAATATTTAGAGAAGGGGTGGGGAGCTTGCCTATGTCAGTGGCATCATTGTAAGATACAGCTCTCTAGTTCCTGTTTTCTTAATCCAGCTAAGTAAAAGCTCTTGAAGAATATATTACTAATTTCCTCAGTATTGCACCACTTAAATTGTATTTTGCCTGTCCTATCACAGCTTCTGTAAGGCGAAAGGAACTGGTTATGAAACAGTTATGCAGGTCTGCAATAACTTAAGGAAACATAGAAAGGAAGTCACAGGTTCAGTTCAGGCTTTTTTACTATCCTTGCATAGTCTGTCTGTGACTTTAAAATGTCCTAGAGAGGAAGAAGAAAATACATAAAATAATATTTTTTTGTATTTAGTGTTCACAGCTTAATCAACCTTCCATTATGAAATCTTTTCATAATTCAATTAAAAATGTAAATGCTTGCCAAAAAAAAAGACACATTGAGCAGATGTGGAGAATGACAGTCAACTGCATTTGTGACGCAAATGCAATCACATAATTACCAGTTAAAGCTCATAAAACACCCCTATGTTGAAGAATGAAGTCTCTGTCCTATTGGTGAAACCCTTGTAAACTTTGAAGAATGATTAATATTTATGACATATAAAGTTGGTTCAAATTGCAGAGACCACCTAATTTGTTGAACCACCTTACTGGTTGTCACTGTATCATCATAGTTTCCACAAGAGGGTTATTCAGAGCTGCTCAGCTGTATTTTTCAGTTTTACTACCATCTCAGGGTTCCTGGGCCTCCAGCAGCCTGAAGTAAAACAGCTGCCTCAACATGAATTTGGCACAGTTTACCAGCAAAGTGAGGAAAAAATTTGGGGTGAATATCGAAATGGTAGTTTTGTCCTCAGTTTTTTAATATTTTAAGAATAAAGTCTTTACTAATGTGTCAGCTGCCCTTAGCTAGCTCTCTTTCATTTATTGTGGTGATCATAATAATCATTTGTAGGAAAGTCCATTTAAGCAATGTCTGACCATATTAGCCATTGCTATCAACTACAAAGAACTGATCTTAAAAAAATCAAGCTTCTGAGTTAATATTTAAACAATTAACTGGCTTCCAAAACTGCAAGCAACCAGCCGTTCTGATTTGAACTCTGCATGACTGAGGTATTTCTGAAAGCCAAGACAACTTGTGTGCTAGGTTGTAAGAGCCCCGTGTCACTTAGCTGCACTTTTTAAGCTTTTTTTTTCCTTTTAAATTCATTGGTGTTGCTTGAGGATAGTAATCATGGGAAATTTGTCCTTTTTTGGGCATGAGAGAGGGGGACTGAAGTTTTCCTTATTAATGGAAAACTGCTGGAAGTTTGTCCTCATTTTATGCTTTAGGTCCAGATCCAGTAAGGGAAATACCAGCCCAGTCTTCCAAATCAGTTATGAAAGTGTCTTCATCATGTTTAAGTTTTTTTTCCTTAGCGGTGAGATTCACATTCATTGTTTTATGATTCTGTGTCGTTAGTCTCTGCATTGAAAAGCCATAAATATGCCAGTACGTCTGTGCAGAGGATCTCCATTAGGGCTTGGACTAGGACCACCCACTCATTTCTCCTGAGCAGGCCAGTAGCTGTCAGATAGCACCTTTTCATTAGCTACTGACCTGGACCAGATGTAAGCTGGTGACCAACAGGTGAAAGGTATTTTGTATCCCATTATTGATCCTCAGAGCCATCAAGTCTTTTAATCAAAATTTATGAATAACTTTTTTATCCTTTAAATAAGTCTGCTATCATGCAGTTGTAAACTTACATTTTTTTTGCTTTGTAAAATTGCCAAAGCATGTCATTGTGCGTATATGACTGCGCACCCTACTGCTAGAAATTGTGAGGTTTCCAGTGACTCTCAATGCCTGCATTTGTATGGGTCAATATACATAACAGTGAACATGCACACCAAATGCCTCCCTGCCCCAGATCAGTATTTTTCAGCTGTTTAAACAATTATTTGGATTTTCATTAAAGGTTAGAATTTTGTTCCCTGATGCCATGTGTTTTATTTAGCACCAAAAACATACAGTAGGAAAGGGACAATTACAGGGATTGATGTCAAGCTAACTACACGGTGTGTACATTCTGTTGTGGTAGTTAAGGTGTACATTGGATAGTTGGAAAAAAGTTGACAAATGCTAAATTTTAATGGTGAAATAGCCTGATTCTGTCAACTGATTGGATTTTACATCATTTGACACAAAAAATAATGTGTATTAAATCTATTCTCAGGTACTGACATTTGGAAAGTGCCAAAAAGAGTAGAGCAGTCATGTGTTTTTGCTGATTCCAGTAAATAAAAATTAATTATGTTTGACAAATGTTTGTGGCCTTATAGTTCAGTAGGCAGAAGCTAGGATTTTGTGACTGTATTCAATGAACTGTCCTTTTATGTTCTAGAAATAGACACAGAGAGCAGCCAGCTAAAACTAATGATGTTAGTCTGTTAAAAAAAGCAATTATGCAAAATATATAGATGTTCACTCTGTCAGTATCAATGATACATATGCTTGGTCCTTGTCATTTTGAAACCTCAGTGCTAGACTTAGATATGCCATTGTAACTTTTGCCAGACCAAAACTGCCAACCTTGGAGTTAAATATACAAAATTTAGTGTTTGATTATCACCTCCCCCTACCAATTATTTTAGTTTGAATAATTATTTTATAGCGACCCAAATTTACATTGTGTTTTCAATTGATGACTATTTTCTTTTTCAGTTTTTGTTCTCATCTATAGTTGTATGCTATTTAAAAAAAAAGAAGTGTTTAATCTATAGATGTATCTTTACTACACGAGTAGAAGAGGAAAAATCATTCTGCACTATGTGTCATTTTTTTTTATTTTAGGCTTTTTGTTTGTGGGTTTGTTGGTTTTTTTTTCATTTGGTTGGTTGAGTTTTTTTAAAAACAGGGATGAGCCACTGCAGTGTAAGATAATGTACTCTTATCATGTAGTTGCACCATTTAGTTGGCAGGACCCTTGTGCCATGTGGATTTGGCTTTAAGGAATATGGATTTGCCAAAGAAAGTTTACTAAATAATAAGGCTAAATTCTTACCTCCAATGAACATTCATTTTGTGAAACTGGAATACTGTTAATCCTGCTTGTATCTATACCAGGATGACCTCTTAAAATATGGCCTCTATGATGATTTCGGTGGAATCTCGTCTTGATATAGTTCTTGGTGTGCTGCACAACTTCCTTCTCTCTATTTTATTGTCTCTAAGGACCTGAGGAAAATACTGAGAATCTGGAGCAGCTGTAATCATGAACAGATCTTGTTATTACTCCTATGTTAACTTGTGGGATAGTGCAGGATGTTTGCCATGTCTGTTTCCAGACCACAAAACTTGAGAAAGCCTATACACTTATATCTGTGAAATAACACTCAAGTCAGCTTGAGAGATGGAGACCACAATGCCTTTCTTCCATAGGGGTTAAGCTTAGCTGTTCTTTATTCTGGAGGCCTTCTATTTTATAAAACCACAGCAACTAATTTCACGGGGATAGGGATAAACAGGTCAGAGGTATCTTACTGAATACGTGATGATGATTCGTGTCTGTGTCAGACTAGGCTGTTTTCTTGAAGAATAGAGTAATGACCACTAATGGATCCGCTCTGGCACTTGTATAGAATAACGCAACTTTACTAGTTTGGTGATTTCAGTGATAAGGAAACCTGTCTTAGAAGATGTGTGTTCTTTTTACCATAATTTCTGTTAGAGTTTTGATTTGTTTGTGGGTTTTTTTTCCTGACCATTTGTCATTCCATTGACCATTGTCTTTCAAAATTACCATTTCTATTACAGTTATGTTTTATGGTTGACAGAATTGATTTTTGATGAAATTTTACTTCCCACATTACCATCAGAAATATATATTTCTTTATTTTCCACATTAAAGCCCCAAATACTTTCTATTTATTTACCTTCATTTGTGGTAACTTTACCTTTGGCTGTGTATATACTGTTAGTTAGGATACGAGGAAATGGAATGAAACTACATCAGGGAAGGTTCAGAATGGACCTTGGAAAAAGGTTCCTTGCTGAGAAGGTAACTGGTCACTGGAGCAGGCTACCCAGGAAAGTGGTTACAGCACCCGGCTCGTCAGAGCTCAAGGAGTATCTGGATGATGCTCTTAGTCAAATGGATGGTTTAGTTTTAGGTAGTCTGGCGAGGAAGGGAGTTGGACTCGGTGGTCTTTATGGGTCCCTTCCAACATGAGCGTTTCTATTATTCTGTGATTTCATAGAAGCAAAACATGCTTTTTCCTCACCCCCCCGACACACTTTTTTTTTTTTTTTAAAACAGGACTAAAGCTCTGTCCTACCTTCCCCTCTGATTTTAGCTTGGGTAAACGTAATGCTTGTCCAAAAAAGGGATGGAGCTTGGTGTTCACCCAAAGCCCTTTACAATATTTTTTGCAATACTTTTCTACTGCTTCCTTACTTCTTGGACATTGAGGATGTTGGACACATTTCTTCCTCAGTCTGGAGATCTGCAGCATAAGTAGTTGACCACAGAACTTCCTGTAACACTTAAACATTCATATTTATTTAGGTTAAATCTAGTGATAATAGTAGTTGTTTTTCTCTAGTGCCTGGAATTTGGAAATTTTAATTGTACATGATTGCTCCATGGTGACACACTGTTAAAATAATTTTCCCCCCCTTTTTTTTAAGGGACGCAAGAATGAGGCAGAAAAGTACTTCATGAAGGCTATTCAGCTGGATCCTACCAAAGGAAACTGCTACATGCATTATGGTATGTTTCAGATAGATAGGGTTTCCACACGTATTCCAGGCTTGCTGTTAATCTCTCCAAGTGATTAAAGGTTTGAAAAGTGCTACTGGCAAAATATCTTCTTTAAAGGGAAAGAAACTAATCTACCATGTATAACTTCATTTCAACTTGTTAATCACTGTAGAGGGAGAGATGAAGAATTTCATATTTTGCATAGCTTTCCTCCTGTGAGAGGAATTTCAGTATTGCTGCCTCTCTGGGAAAGAACAAAGGTGACTATTGCCATATGTCAAAGTTTCATGGCTTGGAATATTATTGTTAACAGTTTTGGCCTAACTTTGCTGGTTGCCGGTGGGTGGGCAACTAGAAGTTTTACTTTAGTGTGCATGAGTTCTATATATCAAAGTGTCTTATGGGCCTTATATCTAGCTCCTTCCCAGCACCTTCTTGGCTTGAAATGCCTAAGTATTACAAAAGGTTTTGACAAGTTGGCTATATCTTTCCTACTAAGCCATGCATGTGCCTATGGCACACAGTTAATTTGAAGGTATCTTTATAACTTTGGATTGTTTTTGCTAGATGTGCAAAAAATATTTCCAGATGTGTTTAGTCCCAAGGAACCAAATTTATTTATCTTTATGGACTAATTCTTACTGTATTTTAAAGCTGATAATAGACAAATCTTAAAATGCAAGCTACGTAGTCCCAGTTGGAAAATATAGAAGTAAGTAATAAGATTCACCTTAGTTTAGGAAAAAGGTAGGGAACCACAAGCACACTATATATATCTTTGTTTTAATTTCCTCTTCTGATTCTAACTAGTAAATGTAAAATAAATAAAGATGAGTGGCCAAAAGGGAAAATTAATCTCACATAATAATCATGTTTTTACTCTATGTGATATCTTTGTCTGAATTGCTCACATGATGTATTTCTGTTTGGTCCTATGCAGTATGAAATTCTGTATGTTAGACTCCCAGAACCAACTTTGGACATAGAACATGTATTTAAACTAATTTAACCCACTGTTGCATTATTTTGCATTATGAAACATTGCAGTTAGTGACCTTGTCTTCTATTTATGCCTGTGCAGGTAAATCTGATAGGGGTATTTGTGTGCATAAGTCCCATTATTTCAATTGGATATAAGTATAGTCGATTCCTCAAGACAATGAAGAAAAGTTACTGCTGATTATTTCTTGGAATTCCACTCAAACCCCTTCCAGCCTTTGTTATTAAGAAACCTATCTTTAGTTATTAGGAAATCTTAATTGCATACAAATTCAAAGTAGGTCTCAACAATGCATCTCAGCAAAAGACATTTAGGATTGTCTAGATTTATTTTCTTTTTCTCTCTCATTACTTCATCAACTTGCCTGAATTTTGTGCAATATTCCCTCTATTCCCTCTCTCTCATTTTCAAGTGCCCCATAAACTAAAAACACGGTTATTGAAATCATCATTCATGTCTGATACATTGACTGCTTTATTACCAGATTACAATATTAAAATGGTGTGTTGTTTCCTAATAAGATTATTCCCTAAAAACATTAGCAAACTTTTCCTTTGTTGTCTTCCAGGTTCAAAAAGTGGGTTCTGTCCTTGTGCAGAGGTCATTACTGCAACATAAGTGAGGTTTTACTCAGCAGTTCAGGAGTGAAGGAAAAATTTAGTCAGTGGAGTAACAGCATAGTAAAATGTGATGCTGAAAGGCAATAGACACAAGAAGGTTCTCTGTAGAGCTGTTAGCTCTCTGTCATGGTGCATTATACACAGAGAGCTCGTCTGAATGCATGTGAAACCTTTTCTTTTCCCTATATAACTTCTGATCACCTTACCAAATTTAGCGATGTTATTCGATGTTTATATCAAAGTATCTGTGAGAAAGATATGGTCTACTTCTGCTTGGGTTATGTGTCTGTGTAGTACAGCTGATGCACAAATCCTTGTCACTTTGGGCATGGGACTTGGTAAAATTTTAAATAAATTATCCTTGCTTTTTCTTTCTTTCCCTTTTCCCTTTCTTTTCTTTTTAGCTTTATTTCTCTTTTCCCTTCCACCTATTGCTTAAATTGATGAGGATTGTGTGTTACCAGGACCATTCCAAATATTACATGGGAATCCCTAGTGAACACTAAGCTTTATCTCTCCTTCTCATTAATTTGTTCCAGGACCTTGTCACAGGTACATTCTACATCCTATATGCCAGGAGTTTATTTATGGGGAAATACATCCGTATTTTGCATGTAAATCTTAGAGATTACTTTTTTTCTCAGCATGAAGATGTTGGAACAGAGAATAAAGGAGTTGGCATCAGTCCTAAAAAAACACATACTTCACAAAACAGCCAAATGAAAAGAGTGGTCAGTTGGGACATAGCAGTGTGTTGATGGATTAGCAGAAATAAATGGACTGTAGATTTTCTTCCAAGTGCACAGGATTGCACACACTTATAATTTGTGCTCCCAGGTTGTGCAGATGTTATTTTTGACTTTTAACCTTTTGGACTTTTTTTGGCACTATGAGAAAAGCTGTCAATATACTGTATCTTTTAAGAAGCTTACATTTGTATTATAATTTAATTCAAACCTTAAGCCAAAGCTATTTTTAGGTACAATTTGGTGCAGGAAGCAAAATGATCACATGAAAATTTGGAGAGAGATGAAGTTTTGTGTTTGCTCCTTGAATAATACCACCACCTCACATTTCTCAACTTAGCACTGTAATCAGTTTTGTATAGGTACTTTGCTGACTTTGGATTTCAGTGGATTTAGATTTGAAGCAGTGTTTGCCAGACTTATTATGCTTGAAGATGTCTGAAGGGAGAACTAGTGGAAAAGGTGAAGAGATATAAATGCCTGTAGACTGCTGATGTGATGGCATGTCATTGGACATAATGGAAAGTGGCTTTTACTCTAGTCACCAGAGAGGATTGCAGTCCCCTCTCAGACTGAAATGCAGACAGCTGCTCACCTGACCATGTTTCTTTTCCCCTTCTTTCTTTTCCTCCTCTCATACACCAGTTATTTGAACATCTGAACTTTGTGCAAAACCATTGTCTTACAAATATGTGAGTGTTGATGGGTGATATGATACAAGCTGCTCAGGTACACAGCATGCTACCAAAAGCCCCTCACAGATGAAAGAGAGAAAATTCGTATGAATCAGGAAGAAGAAAAAGTGACAGAGGAAAGATTGCAGAAGCACCAATGTAATTTTTTTTCTTTTTTAGTTCTCTTTCAATTAAAATATTATTTTTGGCACAGCATATAAGTTTTTAAACTAAAACATTGGAGGAAATTATTTTGGATACTAAATTTGAATGCTCTGGTAAAGTTTGAGACTTAATTGGATATTTTAATATACATTTGTTAAAGATGACTTAAAGTGAACAGTTTTGACTAAAACAGGTTGAACTTAGTAAATTATTTATTTTTGAATTCTTTCTTTTTCTTGTGGAAAAGTTTACTTCAAAATGTCTTACCACATCTACTCAAGATATTGGCTCTCATGCATCCCACTTTGGGGAGCTAATTCAAGTATACCGTTTTGAATCCTGCAAGACCTTGGTAACATCTGTCATTAGCAGATTGATAACAGAATTGAAGTGATCTCCATTGACATAGAAGAGATTTGTTCTAAGCTACTCGTCTCGATTAAATGTCTGTGATCACATGGGATGAATCCAAATGTCAATCCGAGAAACCATAAAGAGGTACCTATGAACTAAACAAGTCCAAAGGAACTTTCTTCTAAATATTTTAAGAACATAATGGCATCTAAAGAGTCAGTACATCAAAGTTGTTAACAAATGTACCAAACATAGGAATGTTCAATCAGGTCAGACCAGTGCCCTTATGGCCTAGAGACTATTTGGTTTTGGATATAGTATTGACCATTCACAAAGGAAGTCTCATTGTCTGCACTGAGCCTATCTCAGTAGAAGTTGAAGAAAGATTATGTATGTATGAAATTTGTCAGTGCACAGAGATGAGGGGAATTTCAAACAGTGAAATACTTAAGAGCTCATCTGTTTAAAAAGAAACAAAAATAAATTCTTCAATTAGTAGGATGCAGTGTAATTAAGGAGTTTGAAATTGTTGAAGGCTTTCTGTACCTCCAGAACTGTCTTATTTAATTTATAATTTATTGTCTAAAAGTAAAATAAAACAACCCAACCAACCAAGCAAACAAGCACACAAAAAAACCCACCAAAACCCCACAACTAAAGCATGCTTTGTTTTATTTGTTTGCTAAAAATGCGTTTTGCCACTGTGCCTATTAAAGTGCATGTAATGGCCTCTCTCCAACGTAACGAAAGTGCAGTGGGGAAAAAGGAGAGAAGGAAAGAAGCAGTGAGGTTTCAAGATGAATGTCTGTACAGAGGTCCCTTCTCCCTTACTTTTGTAATGGATTAATTGGAATAGGGAAGTCAGGAACCCAATGGGATGCTCAAATTAACTCTGTTTTATTAATCACTGTTGAGACCTCCTTTTAAAATAGTTTCCTTTGAATAATACATTGTTTCTAATAACTTTAAATTGTTTAACAATTCCTTTTTTGTTACAAAAATAGATTATTCTCATTAGATTAGTTATGCATTCACTTAATTAGGCAGTTCACATTGATCATCTGCCTTTTTCAGTGCATTCTCAGTTACAGATATAAAACAAGATGAAAAAGAGGCTTTCAGATTACATAAAACTGATTAGCTACACTCTCGTTGAAGAAAGATTAACATGTTCCCTAATATACTTTTTTTTTACATTGTTTTTCACTTTTGAATTTGTGATAATTTAGGAGTTACTTTTATAGGTTTTCTTATATTATCTGTTTCTTTTTAAACAAGTTTAACTTGTTAACTGCTATATTTGTTTTTCAATTTCATCCTATGTCTTTCTAATCACTGTTTCTGTAGAGGGTTTTTAGCCCTTTTTGATGCCCAAATTTTCATCTAAGTCTATGAGCACTCTGTATCTATCTTATTTCCAAAGATAACTGCCCTACCACTCCTATGTCAC